AAATTGCAAACTTTTACTTATTTTCTACCCAAACTAGTGCACTTGACCTTACATCTTCCAACCTTTCTTCATATTTTTCAAGCTTTTTTCAGATAACAATGGCTAAAACTTCCAAAACTATTCCTTAAAATTTTGCTTCCTCTTCTTCAAAATCGACCGCCGAAGTCGAGGAGACCACTCCCGATGTGGTCTTCCTCGATAGATCCGCTCCGGGCGTGGCTACCGATGAATTGGACGCCGAGCCTCCCTTGAAAATGTTCGTCCCCGGGGGGTGCTCGGACGCCGATGACTTTAAGGTCGAAAAGCCCTCATCGGTGTAGGGCCAATGTGAAGCGGTATCTAGGTATATTTGCTCCATCACCGAAGACATTCTTCCTGTGGTCCGAAAGGACTGCGGCTGGGTGGATAAGGACGTAGTTGTCCCCGGGCCCGAGGACGCCATTACTACCCATGTGGAAAGGGTATATTAGTATTTACACTTATCCCTTCACATTGGGCCCGGTGGACCCGGTTATTCTAGATTTCTGCAAGAGGTATGAAGTATGCCTCGGCCAGATCCATATGTCGCTATAGAGGATCGTAATCCTTCTTTGATACTTTGTGAATAAGATCGAATCCCGTCAATTTACCATCGATCACCTTCTCCACCTGTACAGTCCCCGAATCTTCCGAGGGGGACTGATAAAGCTCACACGCCGAGCTAGCAAAGCCCTATTCTCGAGCATCAATGAGGACCGGGATCGGGGCTGGCAGGGACGCTTTGTCCGGGTGAATATCGCAGACTTGATCCCTTCCGAGGTTATGCCATTCCCTGAGAAGTGGAATGTATCACGTAAGCACAACTTTCCTTTAAATGTTGATTTTACATTCATCTCCTTTTTCCTCACCAGTATTTGTCTTGGTGCAGCTGCTGCTCGAGTCCCAAACCATATTCCTCGGTTCAAGGAGTGGATCTAGGGCATATGTTCGCAAATGCCTTATTACGAGCGCACATGGCACGATTTCTCGAAGGGCCACTGGGAGGCTCGTTCTCACGGTAAGATCTCTCTCCCGAATAAGTAACATTAGGCTCCCCTTTTAGCATCATATTCTCATTTCCTCTCTTTTCTTTTCGCAGGCTTGCCTAAGACCATTGAGCTTAGGCCTTCAGTAGGGTACGAGGATCTGTCCGTTGATCCCTCTGCTTTAGGATAGCTCGGGGATGTAGCAGGAGAGAATAAGAAAAGGAAGGCTCTAGGTTTCCCAAGCATAGGGGAGAAGAAGCCAAGAAGAAGGTTGGCCCGTAAGCCAAAGGAGAGTTCTAGCTCTCGAGCACCTGACTCGGACTCGCTTTATCGGCTCAGGGATGAGCCCGAGAAAGATGATATTTTTGTCGCCCCTGAGCGGATCTCTCCCGAAGAGCGGGCGGCAGCCGAGGGGGAAACAACGGAGGCTGATCCCCCTTAGGTTCGGGAGGCCGATGTAGAGATGAGGGCTAAGACATCTCGAGACGCCGGTTTCGCTCCGACCGGTGTCATAGAGATTTCGGGGTCGCCTTCATTCACCGAGTCCATGTTTGACAAAGCCCGAGCGATGAATGAGCGATCCAACGAAGGGGCCCATAGAGCCGACGATCCCCTTCGTTCTTTTTTCGAAGGTGTAGACTCGACCGCTCTGGAAGAATTCTCCGGGTTGGGCGACTTGGAGGTGCTAAGGAAAGACCCGTCTTCAGAGGTCAGTGGGCTGAACTCGAGCCCAAAATTAATCAACCAGTTTCCCGCCCCGAGCATGGATCTCGATTGGAAGAGGTCAATAATCATCACCATCCTGGAGGATGTCCGAGTTCTTTTTGCCCCGTCTGAGTAGCGAGCTACCTCTGGTGCCTGGTAACCGAAGAAGACTAGGCGAAAATGAATCAGGTGGATGTGCCGTGCTTGTTCAACGAAGCACAGCAGGTGCTGAACCGGGTAAGGCATTATTACGCTCTTCCATCCTCTGACTTAGTTTTTGATATCTCTCATGTCCTCTTTCTTTAATCTTTTTGCAGGCCTCGGTACTCCATCATGAAAGTTTTCTCCGATACCGGGCTGAGGTTAACTAGATCGACAATGAGGCTAGGGAGTTTGCCGAGAAGAGGGACACGTATAAGCTTCTCATCAAGCAATGCGAAGAAGTCGTCAAGAGTCTCCGGGCCGAGTTGGATGCGACTCAAAAGGTATATGCTGACTTGGTGGAATATGTAAAGATTTTTGAAGTTAGCAATGACGACTTAGCCATGGTGACTAACGACCAAACCTCGCAGGTCCAACAGAAGATTGACAGGATCAACCAGGTCCGGGCTAAAATGAACGAGGTCCAGGCCATGGTTGATGTCTAGAAGGGAAAAATGGACCGACTAGCTTCGGAGAAGGAGACTGCTCAGGAGCAGCTGGCATCGGTAGAGGTCCAACTCTGAGTGACGAAAGAGATGGCCGATGCACGGTCTCGGCAAATCAAGGACCTCCAAGTTTAACTGGGATCGACCATTGTTGAATGGGATGCCCTTGGCAAGGAGCTCGAAATAATGAGGTCCAAGTCGGAAATAACTAGGGTTGATGGTGAAAAGATGGTGGCACAGTACATGGCTGATGTTGAGGCAGCCAAGGCCTGCCTGAAAGTTACTGTTGAGTACGTGAAACGGTTGTCTCGAAGGAATACCCTCGAGGAGATCCATGCCCGAGGTTTCGACCTGTCGGCCGAGATCGAAGAAGCGAAAAGATTCGAGGTAGAGGCCAAGAATGTCATGCCCCAAAATAGATTGCGACGTGGCCGGCACCCAGTGCCTACCAACATGCACAAAGCGAACCATTATTGCATAATACATACCCAACTCGTAATTGTGTAGCTCAATCCATTTAAGTAATTACAATATTGTATGAGAGAAATAAGATAAACTTCATTAACAATAAAAGTTCATCAAAACAAAAAAACATAAACTAGACATAAGTAAAAATGTCATCTGCAATACCATATGAGTAGCCATTCCCCTAAGATAATATAAACCCTCTATGGAGCCTCTATGACGCTACGAATAAAGTAATAAAGTTACGGAGATTGTCCACTCTATACAAAAATATACAATCGAAATATTGTGGTCCCACAAGTACGAAGGTGGGCTCACCAAAAGAGAGAAAACTGCGAGAACTCTAGCTTGTGCGGTGACTGCCTTGCACTCGACCGTTTACTAAACCTGACACCATTTAAACAAACAATGCTTGAGTATTGAAATACTTAGATATGCGTCATAGCCGCCACTAACATTGGTATAAGAGTTATATAAATTATAATCTATATAACAAGGCAAAAGATAAATAATCTCGAATAAATTAAGGAAGATAAAGTACACAGAATCAGAATAAAGGATAAATTTGCAAGAATAAGAACTTAAGTTTTACTCATTTAGACCTCTTTCATATGTCCAATATCTTATTAGTATTGTCCTCATTATCTAGTATCTCAATGTCAATGGCACACAATGCTGGAATACATCGGGATGCCATCCACGAAGACTATCGTACCATCCCCAAACAGTTAGGCCAATGTGTACAGTCAAGGATCCAAGAAGGCTGTCGTACCACTCCCGCACAGCTAGACAAGGCATATATTTTTTTATTTCATCTTTTTTTTTCTTTTAATGGCTATCAACTAAACATTACTTTGTTATGTAATACATCAAGGATCCAAGAAGGCTGTCGTACCGCTCCCGCACAGCTAGACATGACATATTTGTTTTTCTTTATTCATCTTTGTCCAAATCAAGAGTAGTCCATGCAAGCCTATCCCTAATGTACACGGAATATCATCCAACTATAATTCGAAGCCAAGAGTAAATTTGATAATACACAAGTAACTAGGAGCTCGACATACCTTGACGTCGCTCTAAGTTAGCTAAAGTTCGCCTCGACAGAGTTCAATCTACATAATATATCATATATGGGTAGCGAGTTAATACTCAAAGCATCCTAAAATCCCCAAATATTTTAACCCAAGATTGACCCATCTCAAGATTCACCACAAACAAGAATCCCTAGGTCCTCAAATTCTTCAAATTAATTCTTCTGTGGTCTATATCACAACCTATATATACTAAATACTTTCTCTTAAAAGGGATCAAAATATTAGAGGGAGCTCATGGATATCTTACAGAGAAACTAGAGATGATTTTCTATCTCTTACTGTTGCTACAACTTGATCTTTAAAAACTTGATCGATTGTAAAACTTTCACTCTACCCAAGCCCCTCCTTAGAATTTTCAGTAGCTAAAAGGGCAAAATGCTTACCTTAGCGTCAAGGAGAAGCCAAAAGAAGGTCTTGGTTCTTTCTCCCATTTTTATATTTATGTAAGTTGTACCCCTATTTCTTTTTAGAGTTCCCAAGGAATTGAAATATTAATTTAATAACTAAATATAATTTTACGTAAGACATGTGGTATGCTGCCAAAATTTTCAGCAGTAGTCACGTGAGGGACTAAGTTCCCACTCTAAGAATAATTAAGACCCCATTGGGCCCACCACCACTTATACTCATATTCCTTGTTATATGCTTCATTAATCAACACTTATGTAATGTTTATAATCATAAAAACTGCTGCTACATATTAATTTAAGAACCTCGAACATGACTGCGATCTCGCTTTTTTTTTTTCCCGAGTTATACACCAAATAATTGTATCCATGTTCTAGCAAATTTTTTTCCATAACTCAACGTGACATCCTATACCCATTTGTGTCACTAAAATCACGTTAGTAAACTAGTAATTAGCCTATTTAAAGCCAAAGATTCATTGGACTTTACATTCTCTCCCACTTATGAACATTCATCCGCGAATGTTAAACTTTAGCCATCCTCGATTCCACAATTCCTATCTAGTTCCCTTGTCATTTATCAAACATTTTAGGGCCTTAAAATTTGACTAACTCTCCAAATATTTTTTAAAAAATTTGGCAGAGTTTCCTTTATTTTTAGATCTATCCAAGAGAATTTCAACCTGTCAGAGAGCCATAGAATCACAATACTAATGCCTCACTCGGCACCACATATCAAAACTATATCACAAATGCCTCTATGGGCCTCATATGCCTCAAATACCACTAAATACACACTCCCAGCATCAACAGGATAAAATCTATTACAATTAGATAAATCTAGCTACTGTAGCACTAGATAAATCAATTACATCATTAAAATAAATCGAACTCATAAGAAAGATAATCAAAACAACCTACTCGCTCTATGGAATAAAACATGATACCCCTTAAACTTGAAATTCGAGGAAGTAGCCATACCTGTAGATGCAAACAAGTGTGGGTAGAGAATTCTCATATCCTCCTCGGCCTCCGAAGTGGCCTCCTCAACATCATGATTACGCCATAGCACTTTGACTGAATCTATATCTATAGTCCTCAACCTACGGACTTGCCTATCAAGAATCTCAACTGGTTCTTCTTCGTAAGTTAAACCTTCATTGATTTCTACTACCTCTGGAGAGATGATGTGAGCGGGGTCGGGCTTGTATCCCCGTAGCATCGATACATGGAAAACAGGATAAACTGAACTCTTTTTCAAGATTCGATACGGGCCAATAAATCTAGGACTTAATTTTTCTTTCTTCCCAAATCTCATAACACCTTTCATTGACGACACTTTCTAGAAAACTTTGTCGCCCTCTTTGAACTCCAACGCACGTCGTCGTTTATCGGAGTAACATTTTTGTCGTCTTTGAGATGTCCTAAGCTGCTCCTGGATCAAACTCACCTTCTGCAATGCATCATGTATAATATCGGGACCAAGTAGTCCTACCTCGGTCGGCTCGAACCAACCAACGAGTGATCTATAATTCCACCCATACAATGCTTCATAAGGGGCCATTTGGATACTTGCCTGACAGCTATTATTATAAGCAAACTCAATAAGAGGAAAATGCTCGTGTAATGATCCAGCCGATCGTTTTGATCTCTAGCACGTCGTTCGATGGTTTGAGGCTATGAGCAGCTTCAATTCAGATATTATGACTTGTACGTTTGGTCGGGATTGAATTTCGGTAAGTTTGGAGTTGAATTGAAAAGAAAATTCTCATTTCAAAAGCTTTAAGTTGGAAGAATTGACTAAGATTGGATTTTAGAGTAAACGGCCTCGAAATAGGAATTTAAAGGTTCCAGTAGGTTCGTATGATGATTTCGGACTTGGGTGTATGTTTGGATCGGGTTTTGGATGCCCCGGGAGCGTTTCGGCACCTATTATGGAAGTTAGCACTTTGGAAGAATTTCATGAATTTGGGGTGGACATGAATTTTATGTTATCGATGTCCGTTTAAGATTCCGAGTCTGAGAATAGCTCCGTATGGTGATTCCGATATTGGGAGCACGTCCGGAAGTGGATTTGGAGGTCCGTAGGTCATTTTGGAGTCGTTTGGTGAAAGTTAGATATTTTAAGGTTTTTGAGAAGTTTGACCGGAAGTGGACTTTTTGATATCGGGGTCAGATTCTGATTTTGGAAGTTGGAGTAGGTCCGTAATGTCAGATGTGACTTGTGTGCAAAATTTGAGGTCAATCGGACGTGATTTGATAGGTTTCGGCATCGAATGAAGAAGGTTGAAATTCTAAAATTCATTAAGCTTATGGGGTGCGATTCATGAATTCGACATTGTTTGATGTGATTCGAAGGCTCGACTAAGTTCTTAATATGTTTTAGGACATGTTGGTATAATTGGTTAAGGTCCCGAAGGCCCCGGGTGGATTCCGGGTGGTTAACGGATTGAATTTGGAATTTGAAGAAGGGCTGAAGCAGTTGAGCATCTGGTGTAACCGCACCTGCATGAAGAGGGCTGCAGGTGCGGGAAAATGGCTCGCAGAAGCGGAAGGGGACAGGCTGCTGAGAACCGCAGGAGTGGAAAGATTTGCGTACCTGCGAAGGCACATATGCGAAGAGAGCAACGCAGGAGCGGACGCGCAAATGCGCCGCATGGAGTGCAGGTGTGAAAATGGTTGGCCGAGCTGGAGCCGCACCTGTGATAGGATTTTCGCAGGTGTTGGACCGCAGATGCGGCCAAGGCACCGCAGGTGCGAAGGTCGGGCTGGGCAGTGTGTTTCTTTAAAACGGGACTTGGCCCATTTTTCTCCCATTTTCATTTGGTTTGGGCGATTTTGAAGAGCTTCAAAGGGAGATTCTTGGCAAGCAACTCAAGGTAAGTGATCCCCACTTAGTATAAGTTAAATGCATGGTTTGTATAAGAATTTAAATATGGAAATTAGTAGAAATTATAGGGGTTTTGGTAGAAAAACCTAGAATTTAGTATTTTGGATTTTGACCCCGAATTTGGGCATGGAATTGGGAGTAAATCATATATTTGAGTTCATAAGGTTATGGGTAATGGTTAACTTCGAAAATTTCGGAATCCGGGCACGTGGGCCCGAGGATGATTTTATCGACTTTTCGAACGAAGTTGGGAATTGTTGTAAATAGGATTATAATGAGTATTAAAGTATATATTTATGGATTTGCTCATTTATTAACTAGTTTTGGAGCATTGGGCATCTATTTGAGTTGATTGAAGGGCTTGGGAGCCGGTTATGGAACTTCGGAGCGAGGTAAGTCTCCTTTCTAACCTTGTAAGAGGGAATTAACCCCATAGGTGAATTAAATAAATGTTTGTACCTAATTATGGGGGCTACGTATGTATGAGGTGACGAGAGTTCGTACGTAGTCACTATTATGCTATTGTACGTGTAGTTTAGGACCCGTATCATGCTATACTTGGAATGTTTGTGCCCTTACTTGCTAATATAATCACTTAGTTATGATAAAAATTGATAAAAGAATTGTATAAGGTTAAATTCACTTACTTGAAGGTTTGTATGAGATACTTGACTGTAAATGAGAAACTTGTGTTTTCTTGAAAATAATTGTTATTTGTGGATCGGGCCGAGCGCCTCAGTAGTAAATAAATGCATCTATGGTTTGCGCCATTCAACCCTCTAGCAGTGCACAGTTTAAATATTTGTTGGATCGGGTCGTACGACCTCGGCATGGTTTGCGTATGCTTGTATTGCTTGCCTTGAAATTTATAAATAATGATATTGCCTCCTCGGCCTAAGTTAAATTGTTAAATAATATGAGACAAATTTGGAGATTTCTTAATTATAAAAGAATTGCTTACTCACTTCAAAATATTGAGCTTGAAACCGTTCATATAATCCATACTTAATTATATCATTGATATCCTATTTATAGGCCATAGTAAGTGTCGAAGTCGATCCCTCGTCACTACTTCTTCGGGGTTAGGCGGGATACTTACTGGGTACGCGTTGATTTACGTACTCATACTACACTTGCTGCTCGTTTTGTGCAGGTACATATATGACTAGTGGCCTTGTGGGCGCGGAGGCGCGATTATTACGGGGACTTAGGTGAGCTGCATTCCATACGACGCTCCGCAGCCAGCAGAATCTCCTTCAGAGTATTGTATTTTCCTTCATGTCCAAATTTGTATTCCGGACAGTTATTGTATTTTATTTTAAATTCCTAGAAAGTACTCATGCACTCGTGACACCGGGTTCTGGGATGATTATGGGATGTTCAGTATTGAATTTTGGAAAACATTGTTATTTATTCTGTAAATTCATCTTTTACTTGATAAATTAAAGTAAATTGTTTCATGTTTACCTAATCTTTATGTGTTTAGTGAAATACTTTAGTCCATTTTTTGCTCTCATTTTCTACAACTACCTTTGTACTTTAGCACGTACATTAACAATTACTTAATTAATTCGGAGGCCAACATGAACCCTTACTCGCCTTATGTGTTACTTGTGTAAGTCCCAATGTGCTCCTTTTATGTGACGCTAATAAGAATGGAAATAGAAACCTGAGATTTTTCTTAAGTCTAAAACCTTCCCTTTAGAATAGTGTCCAACGCCTCCTGGACTATAGGAATGGGACAGGTAGACCTATTAAGACACGATTTAGAATCAACTAGTACGCTTTAGGTAACAACTTAAAGATAGTAATGAGGGTAGCGGACATGATACACAAATTGCCCGAATAGCCATTGCACTTTTGGCTATAAAAGTTTTAGCATGCTTTGCACGGGAGTTGATCCATCAGGCTTAAAAATTTAGGTCCCCTTTTTATGTAATTAAGTAGGCTTTCAACGATTTACAATTCTTACATTTTATCCATGACTAGTTTTAATTAATTGCTTTTAAATGATGTATATACTTGGCCACTTAGGATTAATTCACAACTCAACAACCTACAATCTAGTTTAATTCAATAATCCCACATAGTCTTGAATTCAGCCAAGAAACCACAGTTGTGGACCTCGAAGAGTGCCTAACATCTTCTCTTTGAGGTAATTTGAGGCATTACCCGATCTTTGGTGGCGTTGACTAGTCAAACAGAGTTATTCGCAAATAGGTGTCCTAACGCACCTTAAAAATCGTTAGGTGGCGACTCTTCTCTTTTAATATCCATTGAAAAGAGTTGTCACATGTCGAAACCCGCTTTTGCGAGAAAATAGGGAGCGACACCTAACACAAACTAAGGACAAAGCAGTAAACTATCTCAGGCATTCAACTATCATAGGATGACAAAAGAGTATCGAGCATTATCATAATAGTGCTATATCAGGGATTCACAAACTAAATCATACTCATATAATTCAAACACATATAAGTATGCAGAAAGAAAGAAAGAAAATTAACATTGCAGGGGTTAAAGCACTAACCAGTAGCAAAAATTATACGAACAGAAGGATAGTAAAGAGCTTAATAGCAAGAACCCCAGATCTCCGATGCTTTAGACTTCACAAGAGCCTCGAGAAGGGCTCCGAGCAGTGTTTGCACCGAAGGAGATCGTTTAATAGCCTTGGCTTTCAGCCGGCCCAAAATTATGCAGAATATTCGAGTGTAACAAAGTGAATGAGTAAGTAAAAGGAGGAGAACTATGAGAATAATAGCAGTGATTAGGAGATTCCGAGGTCTCTTCAAGGGGTTTTAGGGGAGGGGTTTATATAGTGTAGAAATCAACCGAGTAAACATGGAAAATAAATTATTCAAACACAAATAAAGAAAGATATACTATAGTCAATTAGAATCGGTTATTTTTAGGGCGTGAACAAAGGGGTTCAGTAAATCAACCGGGAATAACAACTATCACGCAAATAATACTAAAAATAAAGGAATACAGAAGATAAAACAGAGAATAAGGAAAATATCATACCAAAAATCATTTAGAGTCAGATTTAGGGAAAAATAAAGTAGAAAATAGGAAAAGAATAGTCAAACACGGAAAAGGAAAAGTATCAATCAATCAAAAAATCAGTAAAGGAAAAAAAAAGGAAAGTCTCAAACCCTAGTTGGGACTGACGACTTGAATCAAACCAATAATGCAAGAATCGTTCAATATAACATGCATATAGATGAAAGATCGTCTAGATCCTCACAGAATCAAAGTAAATCAGTCCGTTCTTGAGAAGTAGTTCTTGCCAAAATAGGGCAAGAACTAAGTAACACCGGGCAAGAACTAAGTAACACCGGGCAAGAACTAAGTAATACCGTAAACATGCGTATAATGATAGAGTATCACAAAAATAGGTAAGTAGATCATGGATTGATTTCATATTTGAGTCGGAATCG